TCTAGTCACCTTACTTGACCTCTCCGAGGGTCACCACACCTCTGTACGTGTATTCGTCAGACTCCCTACGACTGTCCCACTTCTTTGAGGACGCTTTCGCTAAGAAGTGTTCCACATGATGAGCTTCAGCAGAAAACAAAAGCAAAAACACAGCTCCTGCCTCACCTTCATCGTCGGTATCGTCATTGTCAGACAGTTGCACCTCAGGATTTGTTTTTTTCGCAGGCCTAGCTGGCGAATGCTCTAGGATACAGTAAACATTGATTTTTATCAGATCATAAATGCAAGAAAAAGGTAACATGTCAACCCACCAGAATCTTCGTCTTCAGATGATGATGATAATTCACTAAGGGCGCCCATCTCAATATCTTCTTGGCCAGATTTTCTCCCAACACATTGAGCGGGAGGGAGATATGAGAGGGATTAACAGTCCCAAGGTGAGGGGATAAAATGGGACGGGATTGAAAAACTGAGTTGAGAACTGAGGCCAATGAAGTTTCTAGACTTTCTGGCATTGGGGAACCACCATCATGGTCAGGGGTAGAGGGCGATTCAGGACGTTTGGAGGTGGGTAATGGCGTGGGAAGCATTGGGGAACCACCATCTTGGTCCATTGTGGGGGCAGGCATAGAGGGAGATTCAGGACGTTTCGAGGTGGGTAATGGTGTGGGGAGCATTGGGAAATCACCATCATGGTCCATTGGAGCTTCAAGATGCTCTTCATTGATGCAAGTTGCATTGTCCTCAATTGATGTTGAACGTTGAGTGTTGGGGATGACTGAGGCTTCTAGCATGGGCCCACTAACTTGTATGTCCGGAGTAAGGGTGTTGGAGGCACCTTCTATTGCTAATTGCCTCCCAACACAACCAGGCTGTAATGGTGTTGAAGAAGAAGAGGGCTGGGCTGTAAATACAACAAAGAATAAATAAATGAAGTTTGAAAAGCAGTCTAACATTTCTCACCTAAAGGGGTGCAAAACATATGACAATCACGGGGGTTGTTGGATGCTGCCTCTATCTCGG